TTCGGTGGACTTCACGTTGAGTCGGATTCAGCTGTTGCGCGGTTGTTGGTGGTGCTTCGTCGACTGTGACTGGTGTCGTTGTTCCTGCTGCTGCTGATGTCGTTGCTGCTGCCGATGTTGTTGCTGTTGCCGATGTTGTTGCTGCTGCCGATGTTGTTGTTGTTGCCGATGTTGTTGCTGTTGGTGATGTTGTCGCCTCTGCTTCTTGTTGAATCGTTGCTAACGCTCTTGTTCGTTCTGCTTCAGGGATAGTGTGGGAGTACCAGAAACCTCCCGGGCTGAAGTCGGGGTCGAGATCCGGAGGGTGTGTCCAATCAGCAAAGTTCACAATGGCGTCGCTGTCTGCAGTGCCGAGGTCGGGAACGAAGTCGAGGACGAAGACGTTGTTCTTCAGCACTGCCTTCCCGATGTAGAGACCGCCTCTCCCGTGGTAAAGCTTGAACTCCTGGGTCGTGCTGTCGGCTTCCAGATGAATTCCTTTCGCCATCAACTGGCTAACACTCAGTAAGTTGTAGCCAAGTCCTTCAGCGATGAGTACCTTAGACATGTGCAGTATGACATTTGTTTCTCTTGACTGAAGCTGTACCACTCCTTGTCTTCGTGTGCGCATGTTTTGATTGTTGGCAACCGTGATGATCACTTCTCGTTGGAGTCGGTGTTCGCGTTGTACGAAACGCCCGGACGAGCACATGTGTTGCCCGTAGCAACTGTCCAAGAACCAGGTGTCTTGGCCGGACGGTTCACTTTGAGCGATGGCGGCGTAAGTCGGATTTGGGTGGAGTGATTCGCGACGAGGCGTCCTGTTGTCGAGCTCCTCTTCCGGTGAGTAATGGGGTGGTGACTCTGTTATGCAAGAGTCGTTTATCTTGACCATGCAGTTGACTATGTTTCTTGCTCCTTGTGCAGGTTGTCCAGTTGAGGTCGTTGAAGCTTGAATCGTGGTTGTCGAGCTTGCTTGTGTCGAAGCAACTTGGGTGCTTGAAGGCCGCAGTTGTCGCTGTGGTGTTGTCTGACGAGACGGGCAGTGCGTGCGTGGGTGTCCTGATGTCTTGCAGATGTGACAAAACGGAGGTACTCGCTTCGGCTGCTGCTGTCGATTGTTGTAGTTTTTGTGTCGTCACTGAGTATGGAAGGCAAACTCCGGTGCTAATACTCTTTTCTTGTGTCTTTCTTCTTGCAGGTCCATATCCTGCTGCTCGGCGTGAATTTCGGCGCAGAGTGCCGCTTCGGAGATCCTCCCGTGTGCTCGAAGAATTGCTTTGGTGGCGCGCCACTGAGGACCGAGGCCACCGATGACGACTGTTACGAAGACGTCTTCAGAGATTGACCCTCCGCATCGAAGAAGCTTGTCGCGCAATTCGCGACATCGGCTGATATACGCCAACCCTTTTTCTCCTGGTTTCATTTCAACTGTAGTCAACTGCGCCATTAACCTGCTCTGGTTTACACTATCTGTTGCCTGGTACAGGTTCTTCAGATGGCCGTATGCGAGTTCCGCCGAGTTGCCGAAGTTCCGGTAAGAGCGAATGTTCTGCTGCTGGGTTGGTGTGATGTTTCTCAGTAGAATAGTATACGCCATCATGGATTGATACGTATACTGCTGCTTCTCATACTTGTGTCCCGTTTGCTGGATACTGCAGGGATCCGTCGAAGAAGCCGAGTATCTGCGCGCCCTCCATCATCAACTCGAATTCAAAGGACCAGGTAAAGAAGTCCTTTCCGTCGAAAGGTCTTGATGTCTGTAGTTTCAGAACATGCGCGAACTGCGACTGAACTTGTAAAGCATCCATTGGTTTGTCTTGCGCAGGTGGAGGTTGAGGCAGGAAGCTGATCGACCCGCGTTCGTACGGGGCGAAGGTGGGTTGCTGCTGTTGATTCCCTCGCGCGTATGACGACCCGTCAAGGCTCATGGGTGCCGCTCCGTTGTTGCTGTTGTGTGTCTGTGCAGGTCCCGACTGTTGGTGTTGCTCGTAGAAGGACATGAAGGAGAAGAATTTCTCCATCATGTTCTGGTCGAAGTCAGAAGGGTGGTTCGTGGGCGTCTCGGTTGACGTTCCCCTTGGTCTTGCTGTCGTGCCTTCCTCTGTCTGCAGGCCAGAGGCTGGTGGTGGAGTGGGAGTAGTGCCCGAGGAGCCATTAGGAGAGCTCCTTTCCTTGTTTGTTGCCATGTCTTGAAAATGATTTTGAAAAGAAGTTTAGAGTTTTCCCCTGTCTGCTCTCATACCATGTTGGGCTGAGAAAGCCCTTAGGATCTTTGCAGAGGATGACTCTTGGGTAGAAACTTGTAATAGCGGAAGCGTTTAATGAAGATTGTGAACCGACCTTGCACTGGTGTGTGAGAGCAAAGTAGATTAAATTAAACAAGCAAATACAAGGATTTATATAAGAGTACAGGGAATACGAATAGATAGATAACTGTATTGCTGTTGCGGTTCGATATAGTGCGATTCGGGCAACTGCTCTGTAACGAGTCAGTTGTGTGTCCTTAACTGTCGCGCTGTAATTTGTCGAGTCAAAGGTCGCTGACCTTTGACTTTCTCGTAACCTCCAGGCGGTTACCCTAACCTCCGAGGTTGACTCGATGCTTCGATTGGGACTGCTTCGCTTGGTGCCTTGGATTTTGACACGACAGAAGCGCACTTAAGACTTATTGTTTCCAACAGTATGGAAGAGGGATTTTCCTTACTAAGCGCAAGAGGCTTCACTAGTTGGAGGTCCCCACCAGGCCTGTCGAAGTTCCTGGGACCCATACTTGCGCTCCCCAGCTCCTCCCCATCTGACCCTGTTTTTGGTGTAGCTGAGCGTTTGGGCGCCCTTAATGGTCACGGGCGCACCCCAAAGTGAAAACTTAAAATCCGGGCCTGTGAAGAGTTTGCACTTAGACGCGAAGGGAAATTTTGGGTGCTCTAAAGCTGACTTTCAAACACGGGATGGCTAGAAAACGCTGAGGGAAAAATCCATTTCTCTCGTGCAGCCCGAGGAGGAAAGGGGGGGGGGGGGGACACTTAGACAATAAGGGACAATTCGGGTGCTCCAAGCTGACTTAGACGCTTTACAAACACAGGATTGGCTAGAAAACGCTAAGGGAAAAATCCACTCCTCTCGTGCAACCTAAGGAGAAAGGGGGCGGGGTCAGGCAGAATTTGGGGGGGTGGTGAGTCCAACCAGAAACCAAAACTTCGAGACAGGGGAAGGCCCTGTTTGGGCCCTTAACGCATCCGGGGAGGGTCGAGCGCGGCACTTAGTGGCACGGGTGCAGTGCGAATCTAACACTTTTGGCAGTCGAGCTGGAGCGAAAGTAGCTCGGAATGTTCAGGGCATTAAGGGCATATGCCCTTGAATCGACAGGCCTGGTCCCCACCCCAGTCAAATAGCGGTAGCACCTATCTTTCAAATTTGAATGCACTCGCGGATGCTTCACAGGAGCACCAGCAAGCGTCTTGCGCACAACTTCCCAACTTGTACTGTGGAGTTGCACGCGGCGCACGGTTCAGAAACCAGCGCGCGCGAGTAGTTGAGAGTTCTTAGAAGTGAGACAAGGGGGAAGGCGGAGGTGAAGGCGGAGGCGAAGGCGAAGGCGAAGGCCAAGGCCACCCGATCGCCGCCATCATCGCCGCCATCATCGCCGCCTCGCGCTGCGCCCACCACATTCCAACACGTCCGAGGAACGTAGCGCCTAATAGACGTCGCGTATGTCAGGTTCGTTGACGCCTCAATCGACAAAAGTCTGCTTGCTATTGTCGATGCCGTTCTCCTCGTTCTCACGATTCCAACGATATGCGCAGCGGTTAATTCTGAGAACGTTTCACTAAGTTTTCAATCTCACCAGTGCTTGTCTTGCACCTTCACGGGGCTTTCACGGAACCTTCACGGGGCCTTAACGGGCCCTAAACTCGAATTCTGCAGCTTCGGTTCTCTGCTGGGCCTTGACGGGCCTTTGACGGAAGTTTCACGAAGGAATTCGCGTCACTACTGTTTGACTTAGCCTTCACGGAGGCTTCACGGAAGTTTGACGCGAAATTTACCAAAGTGCCAAAAAACGCCGCCAATCAGAATCGAACACGAATCTTCATCAAGCGAAGAATTTCCAAGTGTTGATTTCAACTGACTGGTACAACTAACTTAACTCATCCCAATGCACCCACCTAACTGAACCCAAAACGTGTCCCACAAGCAACCTCCCTTGTAACCAAACTTGCCCCACACTCCAAGTTTCACGTCGCGTCGCACACGCAACCACGACTCCTCCGTCGAACACTCCCGAAGTCCGAATTTCAGAAACTTGTGAACCACGCCATCGTTTCAACCCAAACTCCTACCCCGTCAAACCAATTCCTTCACTTTCCCATCACTATTCCCCCGTAACTTCTCCTCCACTCCCATTTCTTCCTTACGTTTCTACTCCTTTCCCCTCAGCGTAGACCACACGCCAAGGAATCTTAGATGCTTCTTAGTAATTCCTTCTCGCTTCTTCCACACGCCACCGCCATAAGTCGCCGTAGGTCCGCATTTCTCGCCGTCGTTAGTGTGGTTCGTAGAAACCACTCCAACAGCGTAATAGGCCAGGCTGACTTGGCGAGGCGCGCCTTTGCGCGCAGGGTGACAGGTGGTGTGGCCGCGGGATGGCGGGGCGCGGCGACGAGGACGAATGGGACGATGACGTTCCACTGGGGGGCTCTTTCCGCGGTCCCGCCACAACCCCCGCGCCTTCCGCCTCGCGGATCCCTCCCCCGGGGTTCGCCGCAGGCGGAAGAGGCGTTGGCGGAAGGGGGGCTGGCGGAAGGGGGAGCATGGACGGCGCGCGCGGGCAAGGTAGATTCCGCGGAATGCTTCCCGCTATTCCGCCGAATCCGCTTCAGGGGGAATCGCCGTTCTCCCGTCCGCCCGCTGGTTCCGGCAGCACAGGCCACTCAGGCCAACGCGCCCCAACTGCCCATGCCAGGGCCGGCCATCCTGCCGGCCATGCTGCCAGCAATCCTGATAAAATTAGGGTTGGGGGAATGGACGAGTATAGGGGTGGCCTAGGGGGGGTAAGCGGGTTGGGGGGCGAGGGGGAAAGGAGAGGGGAGGGCAGGATGGGCGGGAGAGCCGTTGACGTGGGGGGAGGCTTGGCGGGTGATTGGGAGGGGGAGCATCAGCAGAGACGCTACAACCCGTTTCACCTGCAGCAAGAGCGGCAGCAGCAGCCAGAGTATTTCGAGGAGGGCGACGAGGGGAGCGAAGAGGCGGAGGGGGAAGGGGGGGACGAGTCCGAGGAGGATGTTCCGCTCAACCAGCGCAGGGGGAGCGCGCAGCACAGCGCGGATGGGGGCGAGGGGGGGGCGCTGGGGGGCAGAGGCGCAGCGGGAGGAGTGCCTGCTCCAAGAGGGGGCGCTGGGCGCGGGAGGGGGCGGGGGAGAGGAAGAGGAGGGGGAGGAGGAGGGGTGGGGGGAAGGGGAGGCGGGGCTGTTGCTCCCCTGAAGCGCAAATCCAGTGGCCCTCTGCCTCCCTTACCACACCCATCCGTGCGCCAGCAGCAGGGGCTGCAAGAGCACGAGGATGCTTATAACGGAGATGGAGTGCACGGAGATGACTCTATAGCGAGTGAAAGCGCCCATGAAAGGCACTCTGGCAGCCCGGGGAAGGCGCTGGGGCGAGGGCGGGGGCGGGGCAGGGGCAGGGGGAGAGGCAGGCTTGGGGGAAGGGGATTGGAAGGGGGGGAAGCGGAAGGCGCAGGAAGGGGAGGACAGGCAGGAGATGGTGGGGGAGGTGATGTGCTTGGTGGGGGTGATGTGCTTGGTGGGGGTGATGTGCTTGGTGGGGGTGATGTTCTGTCCCCTGGGCGGGGTAGGGGGAGAGGCAGGGGGAGGGGACGGGGAAGGGGAGGGGGAAGAGGAAGGGGAGGGAGCGTTGCAGGGAGAGAGGCAAGTGAGGAGGAGGCAGGGGCGGGCAGTGAGTGGGAGGAGGGCGAGGGGTATGGGCGTGCAGGGGAGGACGCGTACGTGGGCAGTAGGTATGGGGGTGGGCGGTATAACGAGGCAGCAGCGGCGGAGAGAGAGGCGGTGCCAGGGCGGCTGCGGCTCACTGAGGAGGCGCACTCGCCCTTCCCCCTGCTCCCCCCGCCCCCCACCCCGCCTGCTGCCACGGCTGCAGCACGGTCGGCAGCAGAGGGTGGCAGAGCAGAGGCAGGCACAGGCAGTGGGCACACCCTGCAGCAGCAGCAGCGGCAGGAAGAGGGGGAGCAGGAGGGGCAGGATGAGAAGCAGGGCAAGGGGGCATCAGATACGGGTGCGAGTGTGGCTGTCCGGTTTGCTGCAGCCATGAGAGCCGCGGCTGCTGGGGAGGGGTCGCTGGCGGAGGAGGCAGCTGCCATTGCTGCTGCTCTGCCTGCTCCACGCGTGTGGGACCAGACCAGCCTGGACAGGATCTCGACCGTTGATCGCGAGGAGAGGATTCGACGGCTGGAGTCGCAGTGCATGGACGAGTGTGTGCAGCTGTGCCGCGACCTCATCGTGCGCCAACGCCTCTGGCACCAGGTGGGACAAGGGGGGAGAGGGGGGAAGCGCCTCTGGCACCAGGTGGGACAAGGGGGGAGAGGGGGGAAGCGCCTCTGGCACCAGGTGGGGAGGGTGAGGGGGTGAGGGAGGGGGAGGGGGAGGTGGGAGAGACAACGCCTCTGGCACCAGGTGGGAGAGACAACGCCTCTGGCACCAGGTGGGAGAGACAACGCCTCTGGCTCCAGGTGGGAGAGACAACGCCTCTGGCTCCAGGTGGGAGAGACAACGCCTCTGGCTCCAGGTGGGAGAGACAACGCCTCTGGCTCCAGGTGGGAGAGACAACGCCTCTGGCTCCAGGTGGGAGACACAACGCCTCTAGCACCAGCGCCTCTAGCACCAGCGCCTCTAGCACCAGGTGGGGGGGAAAGAAGGGGGAGTAGTGCCTCTGGCAGCAGGTAACGAGGGGGAGAGGTGGGATAGAGGTGGGAATGGGGGGGACAGCTGGTACCGTAGCACCTCTGGCACCTGGAGTGCCTCTGGCACCCGGTGGGGTAGGGGGGTGGATGGGGGGAGGGATGGCAGCTGGTGTGGGGAGGGAAGCGCCTGTGGCATGAGGTGTGTGGGGGTGGATGAGGGTGGGGGAGGCGTGGAAGGGTGTGCTGGGGTCGGGGCGAGACGGGGTGAGGGCAGGTGGGACGTGGGATGGATGTGGGTGGCGATGGGGAGGGGTTGGTGCAGAGTGCAATATGTGTGCTCTGGTTGGGAGCGCGTCTTTTTCTCTGCTCCCTGCTTGCTCGCCCCGTTCCCTGCTCCAAACCTCCATCAACTCGGACTCGCTGCTCCACAAGGGCGCCACGCCACTCTGAAGCCTGCTCACGTTCTGCCTGGCCTATAACCGCTCTCTTCCCTCTCCCGCTCTGCGCGTGGCCCACCCCTCCCCCCATGCGGGCAGGACATAGTGGATGCGGGAAAGCCCCTGCCGCCCGTCAAGCTCTTCCCCATCGTGCCGCCACTGGACCTCCTCGGTGCGTGCCGTGCCCGCCTCCCCTCCCCCTGCTACTCCTTGGTGGTTGCACCCTGCATGCGCTTCGCTCCCTTGCCGTTGCTCGCGTTGCGTCCCCACACCAAGTTCTCCATTCCATGAATGCACGTCATCTAACCAACCTCCCCTTCCCGTGTGACCCATCATGCATGCCCCCTCCCGTTCGTCTCCACAGACCCCGTCAGCCCGCCTGCCCTCCCTCACCTCCACTTTGACTCGCTCCTCCCGCTCCTCCCACCCGCCATGCAAGCTGCTGCTGGGGCAACAGCTGCTGCTGGTGGGAGGGGAGTGAAGGGGAAGGCGGAGGCGGATGTGGGGGCGGGCAGTGCAGGGGGGCGGGGAGGACGGGGCAGAGGAGGGCGAGGGAGAGGGAGGGGAGGGAGGGGAATGAAGCCGGCGGGCTGGGATGCTGAGTCGTCCGCTGCCGTGTGTGCTGGTGGCGAGTCAGCTGAAGGTGGGGCGGTGGCGGCAGGTTTACGGTTGAAACAAGAGGCGGCTGGGGCGGAGTGGGAGGAGGATGCACCGTTGCGAAGGCAGCAGCAGCAGGGGGGGATGAAGAGGCATCTGGGGCAGGTGGGGGGCGCGCAGGGGCTGCAGGGCAGCGTTCCCGTGGTGGGTCGGCCGAAGCAGATGGTTCGGCGGCTGCTGGTGTGGCGGGCGAATGAGCGCGAGGCGCTGAGGAAGGCCCTGCTCGCGTTTGGGCTCACCCGACCGTCCATGGTGAGCGACGAGGATGCGGGGGAAGAAGGGAGTGGGGGCTTGCGAGAGTAACTGGTGGGGAGGGGGAGCGGCTGCATGGGTGCATGGGTGCAGGTGCGCGTGGGGGCTGGTGGTTGCGGTGGCTGGCTGGGGCGAGGCGCTGCGGAAGGCCGTGCAGCCGTGCCCGCATTTGGGCTCACCCTACCGCCCATGGTGAGCGCGGTGGCGGTGGGGGGGAATGAGAGGCTTGTGGGTGCAGTGCAGTGGTTGGTGCAGTGAGTGGTCGGTGCAGTGAGTGGTTGGTGCAGTGAGTGGTTGGTGCAGTGAGTGGTTGGTGCAGTGAGTGGTTGGTGCAGTGAGTGGTTGGTGCAGTGAGTGGTTGGTGCAGTGAGTGGTTGGTGCAGTGAGTGGTTGGTGCAGTGAGTGGTTGGTGCAGTGAGTGGTTGGTGCAGGGAGTGGTTGGTGCAGTGAGTGGTTGGTGCAGTGAGTGGTTGGTGCAGTGAGTGGTTGGTGCAGTGAGTGGTTGGTGCAGTGAGTGGTTGGTGCAGTGAGTGGTTGGTGCAGTGCAGTGGTTGGTGCAGTGAGTGGTTGGTGCAGTGAGTGGTTGGTGCAGTGAGTGGTTGGTGCAGTGAGTGGTTGGTGCAGTGCAGTGGTTGGTGCAGTGAGTGGTTGGTGCAGTGAGTGGTTGGTGCAGTGAGTGGTTGGTGCAGTGAGTGGTTGGTGCAGTGAGTGGTTGGTGCAGTGAGTGGTTGGTGCAGTGAGTGGTTGGTGCAGTGAGTGGTTGGTGCAGTGAGTGGTTGGTGCAGTGAGTGGTTGGTGCAGTGAGTGGTTGGTGCAGTGAGTGGTTGGTGCAGTGAGTGGTTGGTGCAGTGAGTGGTTGGTGCAGTGAGTGGTTGGTGCAGTGAGTGGTTGGTGCAGTGAGTGGTTGGTGCAGTGAGTGGTTGGTGCAGTGAGTGGTTGGTGCAGTGAGTGGTTGGTGCAGTGAGTGGTTGGTGCAGTGATGGTGGTGCAGTGGTTGGTGCAGTGAGTGGTTGGTGCAGTGAGTGGTTGGTGCAGTGGAGTGGTTGGTGCAGTGAGTGGTTGGTGCAGTGAGTGGTTGGTGCAGTGAGTGGTTGGTGCAGTGAGTGGTTGGTGCAGTGAGTGGTTGGTGCAGTGAGTGGTCGGTGCAGTGAGTGGTTGGTGCAGTGAGTGGTTGGTGCAAGTGAGTGGTTGGTGCAGTGAGTGGTTGGTGCAGTGAGTGGTTGGTGCAGTGAGTGGTTGGTGCAGTGAGTGGTTGGTGCAGTGAGTGGTTGGTGCAGTGAGTGGTTGGTGCAGTGAGTGGTTGGTGCAGTGAGTGGTTGGTGCAGTGAGTGGTTGGTGCAGTGAGTGGTTGGTGCAGTGAGTGGTTGGTGCAGTGAGTGGTTGGTGCAGGTGAGTGGTTGGTGCAGTGAGTGGTTGGTGCAGTGAGTGGTTGGTGCAGTGAGTGGTTGGTGCAGTGAGTGGTTGGTGCAGTGAGTGGTTGGTGCAGTGAGTGGTTGGTGCAGTGAGTGGTTGGTGCAGTGAGTGGTTGGTGCAGTGAGTGGTTGGTGCAGTGAGTGGTTGGTGCAGTGAGTGGTTGGTGCAGTGAGTGGTTGGTGCAGTGAGTGGTTGGTGCAGTGAGTGGTTGGTGCAGTGAGTGGTTGGTGCAGTGAGTGGTTGGTGCAGTGAGTGGTTGGTGCAGTGAGTGGTTGGTGCAGTGAGTGGTTGGTGCAGTGAGTGGTTGGTGCAGTGAGTGGTTGGTGCAGTGAGTGGTTGGTGCAGTGAGTGGTTGGTGCAGTGAGTGGTTGGTGCAGTGAGTGGTTGGTGCAGTGAGGTGGTGCGTGAGTGGTTGGTGCAGTGAGTGGTTGGTGCAGTGAGTGGTTGGTGCAGTGAGTGGTTGGTGCAGTGAGTGGTTGGTGCAGTGAGTGGTTGGTGCAGTGAGTGGTTGGTGCAGTGAGTGGTTGGTGCAGTGAGTGGTTGGTGCAGTGAGTGGTTGGTGCAGTGAGTGGTTGGTGCAGTGAGTGGTTGGTGCAGTGAGTGGTTGGTGCAGTGAGTGGTTGGTGCAGTGAGTGGTTGGTGCAGTGAGTGGTTGGTGCAGTGAGTGGTTGGTGCAGTGAGTGGTTGGTGCAGTGAGTGGTTGGTGCAGTGAGTGGTTGGTGCAGGGAGTGGTTGGTGCAGTGAGTGGTTGGTGCAGTGAGTGGTTGGTGCAGTGAGTGGTCGGTGCAGTGAGTGGTGGGTGCAGTGAGTGGTTGGTGCAGTGAGTGGTTGGTGCAGTGAGTGGTTGGTGCAGTGAGTGGTTGGTGCAGTGAGTGGTTGGTGCAGTGAGTGGTTGGTGCAGTGAGTGGTTGGTGCAGTGAGTGGTTGGTGCAGTGAGTGGTTGGTGCAGTGAGTGGTTGGTGCAGTGAGTGGTTGGTGCAGTGAGTGGTTGGTGCAGTGAGTGGTGGTGCAGTGAGTGGTTGGTGCAGTGAGTGGTTGGTGCAGTGAGTGGTTGGTGCAGTGAGTGGTTGGTGCAGTGAGTGGTTGGTGCAGTGAGTGGTTGGTGCAGTGAGTGGTTGGTGCAGTGAGTGGTTGGTGCAGTGAGTGGTTGGTGCAGTGAGTGGTTGGTGCAGTGAGTGGTTGGTGCAGTGAGTGGTTGGTGCAGTGAGTGGTTGGTGCAGTGAGTGGTTGGTGCAGTGAGTGTTGGTGCAGTGAGTGGTTGGTGCAGTGAGTGGTTGGTGCAGTGAGTGGTTGGGTGCAGTGAGTGGTTGGGTGCAGTGAGTGGTTGGTGCAGTGAGTGGTTGGTGCAGTGAGTGGTTGGTGCAGTGAGTGGTTGGTGCAGTGAGTGGTTGGTGCAGTGAGTGGTTTGGTGCAGTGAGTGGTTGGTGCAGTGAGTGGTTGGTGCAGTGAGTGGTTGGTGCAGTGAGTGGTTGGTGCAGTGAGTGGTTGGTGCAGTGAGTGGTTGGTGCAGTGAGTGGTTGGTGCAGTGAGTGGTTGGTGCAGTGAGTGGTTGGTGCAGTGAGTGGTTGGTGCAGTGAGTGGTTGGTGCAGTGAGTGGTTGGTGCAGTGAGTGGTTGGTGCAGTGAGTGGTTGGTGCAGTGAGTGGTTGGTGCAGTGAGTGGTTGGTGCAGTGAGTGGTTGGTGCAGTGAGTGGTTGGTGCAGTGAGTGGTTGGTGCAGTGAGTGGTTGGTGCAGTGAGTGGTTGGTGCAGTGAGTGGTTGGTGCAGTGAGTGGTTGGTGCAGTGAGTGGTTGGTGCAGTGAGTGGTTGGTGCAGTGAGTGGTTGGTGCAGTGAGTGGTTGGTGCAGTGAGTGGTTGGTGCAGTGAGTGGTTGGTGCAGTGAGTGGTTGGTGCAGTGAGTGGTTGGTGCAGTGAGTGGTTGGTGCAGTGAGTGGTTGGTGCAGTGAAGTGGTTGGTGCAGTGAGTGGTTGGTGGCAGTGAGTGGTTGGTGCAGTGAGTGGTTGGTGCAGTGAGTGGTGGTGCAGTGAGTGGGTTGGTGCAGTGAGTGGTTGGTGCAGTGAGTGGTTGGTGCAGTGAGTGGTTTGGTGCAGTGAGTGGTTGGTGCAGTGAGTGGGTTGGTGCAGTGAGTGGTTGGTGCAGTGAGTGGTTTGGTGCCAGTGGAGTGTTGGTGCAGTGAGTGGTAGGGGCAGTAGTGGTTGGTGCAGTGAGTGGTTGGTGCAGTGAGTGGTTGGGTGCAGTGAGTGTTGGTGACAGTGAGTGGTTGGTGCAGTGAGTGGTTGGTGCAGTGAGTGGTTGGTGCAGTGAGTGGTTGGTGCAGTGAGTGAGTGGTTGGTGCAGTGAGTGGTTGGTGGCAGTGAGTGGTTGGTGCAGTGAGTGGTTGGTGCAGTGCAGTGGTTGGTACAGTGAGTGGTTGGTGCAGTGAGTGGTTGGTGCAGTGAGTGGTTGGTGCAGTGAGTGGTTGGTGCAGTGAGTGGTTGGTGCAGTGAGTGGTTGGTGCAGTGAGTGGTTGGTGCAGTGAGTGGTTGGTGCAGTGAGTGGTTGGTGCAGTGAGTGGTTGGTGCAGTGAGTGGTTGGTGCAGTGAGTGGTTGGTGCAGTGAGTGGTTGGTGCAGTGAGTGGTTGGTGCAGTGAGTGGTTGGTGCAGTGAGTGGTTGGTGCAGTGAGTGGTTGGTGCCAGTCACCGCCCCGCCCCGCCCCGCCCTTCCGCCACCGCTCTTGCTGCAACACCCTCCGCCTCCACCCTCTCCTCTCTGCTCTCTCTCATACGCCCTGTGTGCCTCGTGTCCGCCTCCATGCTGTGCCGCAGCCTACAGCCCAGCCTCCAACGCCACCACCATTCCATACAGCTCTGCACTCCGCTCCACTCCTCGCCCCGTCCCTCCCTCCCCACATATCCCCCCCACCTCCCCCTGCCCTGCCCTTCTGTGTGCCCGTGACGCGGTCAGGTGCTGGGCAGCATGCGGGCGAGCATGAGGAGCGAGCGGCACGGGGCGGGGGACGTGGTGGACGCCACGTGCCACTTCCTGCGTGCATGTTCAACGCTGCAGCCCCCCGATGCCCTCGACCCGCGTGACCTCGCCTGGGCGCAGCGCCGCCTCTCCCACCTCGCCTCCCTCGCCAACGTCCCCTTGGGCGCCCCGGGGGACGGTGGCGAGGGGGGTGATGGCGAGGGAGAGGGAGGGCGAGAGGGAGGTGGAGGGGGAGGGGAGGGGGATGGGATAGCTCGGCGGGTGGGGTGGTGGGAGCGGGTGCCGGTGGCGAGCTGTGCGCGCACGTGGCTGCGCCGCCTGCGCCTGCTGGAGCAGCTCGTGCGTGTGTGGGCGGGAGGGGGGCGAGGGAGACGGGTGTGTGGGCGGGAGGGGAGCAAGGGAGACGGGTGTGTGGGCGGGAGGGGGGCGAGGGAGACGGGTGTGTGGGCGGGAGGGGGGCGAGGGAGACGGGTGTGTGGTGCACGCGGTATCTGGGGCGAGTGACTTGGTTGTATAATCGTTCTGATGTCTCACCATCACCATCTCTCACCCATCTCCTCTCTCTCCCTTCCTCTCTCCCCGCTCAGCATCAGCTGCCGTTACACTGACAAGCCACCCCCTTTTCTTCCTGACCCCCGTGCCTGTCTCCCTCCATTCGTCTCCCCCCCCATCAGCACGAGGTGCTGGGCTTCATGGCGCGCAGCACGGGATTCGCCCTCGCATGCCACCACGTGGCGGCGCTCACCGACGCCACGCTGCCCGCGCATTGGTGGGCGCGCGACGCTGACCTGGCGCTGCTGCTGGGCGTGGCTCTGCACGGGTACGGCGCGTACGAGGCCGTGTATGGCGACTCTGCCCTCGGGCCGCACCTCCGCAAGCCCCAGAGGGACAGGGGGGCGCGTGGGGAGAAAGGGGAGGAGAAGGGTGAGAAGGTTGGGGAGGAGGGAGGGGCGGGGGGCGAGGAGGAGGGGTGGTTGGACGCGTACACGCTGACGCGGCGGCTGAAGCGACTCATTGAGCACCTCGTGCGCATCAAGCGATCCGTGCGCCCCGACTCCCTCTCTCTGCTCCCCGCTCTCTGCTCCCTGCTCTCTGCTCTCTGCTCCCTGCTCCCTGCTCTCTGCTCCCTGCTCTCTGCTCTCTGCTCTCTGCTCCCTGCTCTCTGCTCTCTGCTCTCTGCTCCCTGCTCTCTGCTCTCTGCTCTCTGCTCCCTGCTCTCTGCTCTCTGCTCCCTGCTCTCTGCTCCTCCCCATATTGCCTGCTCGCCGTCCTCTCTCTGCCTCGCCACCTCTTTGCCTCGCTATCTGATGGCATTCAAAGTGTCTGTGCTACCATGCTACACGTTTGCATGCGCATACAACGTTTCAGAGCAGTTTACAGGTGCAGTAGTGAGGCCAAGAAATGAGGGATGCATGTGCCCACTCACATAGCAATGGAGTCACTCCCTTCTCTCCCCCTCTCTCTCCCCCCCTCTCTCCCCTCCTCTCTCCCCTCCTCTCTCCCCTCCTGTCCCCCCTCCTACCTCCCATCCTGTCCCCTCTCCTCTTGCCCCTCTTCTCTATCCCCTCTCCTCTGTCCCCTCTCTTCTCTTTCCCCTCCTCTCTGTTAGAATACCAGTGTACTGTGTCCTGCATATATCCTTCATCGCTTGGGTAGACGTAGGCACCCAAGTCTAGTGTGAGTGCATCCTTAGCTAAAGGGTGGAGAATGTTGGAGATCCAGTAATTGTGGGAATGATGGCAGACAAGAACCCAACAACCCCCGCGTCCCATCCAACCATGCATTCCCTTGCCTGTTTCAATGGAATCAAAGTGCTGGTTCTTCACGTTTTCTCACACTCTCTCCCCTCCTATCCCCCTTCCTCTACCGCCTTCTCTTCCGCCTCCTCTCCCCCGTCCTTTTCCCTCTCCTCTCCCCACTCCTACCCCCCGCTTCCTCCCCACAGCTGGCGAAGAAGCCTCAGCCTGCGCCCACGCTGACGGGTCCTCCCCCCGCCTTCACCCCCGCGCACTTCAAGCGCGCCCTTCCCCCCGCCTCCGATGCCTGGGCTGCCCCCGCTGCTGCTGCTGCTGCCGCTGCCGCTGCTGCTGCTGCTGCCCCCGCCGCTGCTTCCGTTGCTGCTGGTGGTGGTGGCGGGAGGGGTGGGGACATCGGCGGAAGAGGGGGCGTTGGGGGGAGAGGGAGGGTAGGCAGGGGAAGGGGAGTGGGAAGAGAGGGGAGAGGAGGATGGGGGTTAGCTGATGGGGGAGGAGCAGGAGGAAGGGGAGGGAGAGAAAGAGTGGGGAACGCAGGAGGGGCTTATGAGGAGTACGGGGGGGAGGAGGAGGAGGAGGAGCAGTGGGGAGGGCGGGGGGAGCATGGGGAGCACGGGGAAGAGTATGGGGAGGAGGGGGATGGGGCAGGGGAAAGGGGGGAAGAGGGGGATGAGGGCGCGGGGGAGGAGTGGAACGAGGATGCCCCTGTGAGGCGAGGTGGGGGGCGAGGGGAGGGCGGACTAGGCGGTGTGGAGAGAGGGGGAGGGGCGAGGGGGCGGGGCAGGGGGCGAGGCAGAGGGCGGGGAGGAGGGAGGGGCGGGGCAGCAGGTGGAGGAGAAACTGGTGCTGCTGACGCGAGCGGTAGGGGGGGGCGGGGGAGGGGGAGAGGAGGGCGGGGGCGTGGGGGCACGAGGGGGGGCGGACGAGGTGCAGGAGCGGTGGAGATGGGTGGTGGCGTGGGGGAGGAGATGGAGTGGGAGGCACAGGCGGAGGAACGGGAGGGGGACGCGGAGGGCGCGCAGGGTGGCGGCCGCTGGCGTGCACACGGGGCAGGGGGGGCGCATGGGGAAGGGAAGGGGCGGCACAGGGAGGGGCGGCACAGGGAGGGGCGGCACAGGGAGGGGCGGCACAGGGAGGGGCGGCACAGGGAGGGGCGGCACAGGGAGGGGCGGCACAGGGAGGGGCGGCACAGGGAGGGGCGGCACAGGGAGGGGCGGCACAGGGAGGGGCGGCACAGGGAGGGGCGGACACGGCGTGGAGCCGCAAGGAGAAGCTGGAGCTGCTGCGCCTGCTCATGCTGTGGGGGCTGCCCGCTGTGAGTGGCTCATGCTGTGGGGGCTGCCCGCTGTGAGTGGCTCATGCTGTGGGGGCTGCCCGCTGTGAGTGGCTCATGCTGTGGGGGCTGCCCGCTGTGAGTGGCTCATGCTGTGGGGGCTGCCCGCTGTGAGTGGCTCATGCTGTGGGGGCTGCCCGCTGTGAGTCGTGGCTTGTTTGATTTGGGGGTGCATTCACGCCCATGCCCGTACAAGTGCCTGAAACATTAACGTGCTGTGCCGTGCTGCACTGCTACAACACACCGTAATGCTGTGCGCGTGCACTGCATTTGTCTTGTATAGCAACTGAGCACGCTCACCCCATGAGGTCTTCCCCATCCCGTTCTTCCCCTCGCACCCCTCGGGAGCAGCGGCATGGCGGCAGCAGGACGAGCCGTGTGAGGTGAGGGGTGGTTGTGAAGGATGGATGTTGAGAGACAGTGCGCCTATCATGTGCTTCAACCTGCTCTGCCCCTGCTCAACCCAACCATCCTGTCCCGTGCTTCCCCTCACACCAACATGCTTCCCCTCACACCAACGTGCTTCCCCTCACACCAACGTGCTTCCCCTCACACCAACGTGCTTCCCCTCACACCAACGTGCTTCCCCTCACACCAACGTGCTTCCCCTCACACCAACGTGCTTCCCCTCACACCAACGTGCTTCCCCTCACACCAACGTGCTTCCCCTCACACCAACGTGCTTCCCCTCACACCAACGTGCTTCCCCTCACACCAACGTGCTTCCCCTCAACACCAACGTGCTTCCCCTCACACCAACGTGCTTCCCCTCACACCAACGTGCTTCCCCTCACACCAACGTGCTTCCCCTCACACCAACGTGCTTCCCCTCACACCAACGTGCTTCCCCTCACACCAACGTGCTTCCCCTCACACCAACGTGCTTCCCCTCACACCAACGTGCTTCCCCTCACACCAACGTGCTTCCCCTCACACCAACGTGCTTCCCCTCACACCAACGTGCTTCCCCTCACACCAACGTGCTTCCCCTCACACCAACGTGCTTCCCCTCACACCAACGTGCTTCCCCTCACACCAACGTGCTTCCCCTCACACCAACGTGCTTCCCCTCACACCAACGTGCTTCCCCTCACACCAACGTGCTTCCCCTCACACCAACGTGCTTCCCCTCACACCAACGTGCTTCCCCTCACACCAACGTGCTTCCCCTCACACCAACGTGCTTCCCCTCACACCAACGTGCTTCCCCTCACACCAACGTGCTTCCCCTCACACCAACGTGCTTCCCCTCACACCAACGTGCTTCCCCTCACACCAACGTGCTTCCCCTCACACCAACGTGCTTCCCCTCACACCAACATGCTTCCCCTCACACCAACGTGCTTCCCCTCACACCAACGTGCTTCCCCTCACACCAACGTGCTTCCCCTCACACCAACGTGCTTCCCCTCACACCAACGTGCTTCCCCTCACACCAACGTGCTTCCCCTCACACCAACGTGCTTCCCCTCACACCAACGTGCTTCCCCTCACACCAACGTGCTTCCCCTCACACCAACGTGCTTCCCCTCACACCAACGTGCTTCCCCTCACACCAACGTGCTTCCCCTCACACCAACGTGCTTCCCCTCACACCAACGTGCTTCCCCTCACACCAACGTGCTTCCCCTCACACCAACATGCTTCCCCTCACACCAACGTGCTTCCCCTCACACCAACGTGCTTCCCCTCACACCAACGTGCTTCCCCTCACACCAACGTGCTTCCCCTCACACCACGTGCTTCCCCTCACACCAACGTGCTTCCCCTCACACCAACGTGCTTCCCCTCACACCAACGTGCTTCCCCTCACACCAACGTGCTTCCCCTCACACCAACGTGCTTCCCCTCACACCAACGTGCTTCCCCTCACACCAACGTGCTTCCCCTCACACCAACGTGCTTCCCCTCACACCAACGTGCTTCCCCTCACACCAACGTGCTTCCCCTCACACCAACGTGCTTCCCTCACACCAACGTGCTTCCCCTCACACCAACGTGCTTCCCCTCACACCAACAGTGCTTCCCCTCACACCAACGTGCTTCCCCTCACACCAACGTGCTTCCCCTCACACCAACGTGCTTCCCCTCACACCAACGTGCTTCCCCTCACACCAACGTGCTTCCCCTCACACCAACGTGCTTCCCCTCACACCAACGTGCTTCCCCTCACACCAACGTGCTTCCCCTCACACCAACGTGCTTCCCCTCACACCAACGTGCTTCCCCTCACACCAACGTGCTTCCCCTCACACCAACGTGCTTCCCCTCACACCAACGTGCTTCCCCTCACACCAACGTGCTTCCCCTCACACCAACGTGCTTCCCCTCACACCAACGTGCTTCCCCTCACACCAACGTGCTTCCCCTCACACCAACGTGCTTCCCCTCACACCAACGTGCTTCCCCTCACACCAACGTGCTTCCCCTCACACCAACGTGCTTCCCCTCACACCAACGTGCTTCCCCCTCACACCAACGTGCTTCCCCTCACACCAACATGCTTCCCCTCACACCAACGTGCTTCCCCTCACACCAACGTGCTTCCCCTCACACCAACATGCTTCCCCTCACACCAACATGCTTCCCCTCACACCAACGTGCTTCCCCTCACACCAACGTGCTTCCCCTCACACCAACGTGCTTCCCCTCACACCAACATGCTTCCCCTCACACCAACGTGCTTCCCCTCACACCAACGTGCTTCCCCTCACACCAACGTGCTTCCCCTCACACCAACGTGCTTCCCCTCACACCAACGTGCTTCCCCTCACACCAACGTGCTTCCCCTCACACCAACGTGCTTCCCCTCACACCAACGTGCTTCCCCTCACACCAACGTGCTTCCCCTCACACCAACGTGCTTCCCCTCACACCAACGTGCTTCCCCTCACACCAACGTGCTTCCCCTCACACCAACATGCTTCCCCTCACACCAACGTGCTTCCCTCACACCAACGTGCTTCCCCTCACACCAACATGCTTCCCCTCACACCAACAGTGCTTCCCCTCACACCAACGTGCTTCCCCTCACACCAACGTGCTTCCCCTCACACCAACGTGCTTCCCCTCACACCAACGTGCTTCCCCTCACACCAACGTGCTTCCCCTCACACCAACGTGCTTCCCCTCACACCACAGTGCTTCCCTCACACAACGTGCTTCCCCTCACACCAACGTGCTTCCCCTCACACCAACGTGCTTCCCCTCACACCAACGTGCTTCCCCTCACACCAACGTGCTTCCCCTCACACCAACGTGCTTCCCCTCACACCAACGTGCTTCCCCTCACACCAACGTGCTTCCCCTCACACCAACGTAACTGCTCCCCTCCACCAACTTGCTTCCCCTCACACCAACGTGCTTCCCCTCACACCAACGTGCTTCCCCTCACACCAACGTGCTTCCCCTCACACCAACGTGCTTCCCTCACACCAACGTGCTTCCCCCCACACCAACGTGCTTCCCCTCACACCAACGTGCTTCCCCTCACACCAACGTGCTTCCCCTCACACCAACGTGCTTCCCCTCACACCAACGTGCTTCCCCTCACACCAACATGCTTCCCCTCACACCAACGTGCTTCCCTCACACCAACGTGCTTCCCCTCACACCAACGTGCTTCCCCTCACACCAACGTGCTTCCCCTCACACCAACGTGCTTCCCCTCACACCAACGTGCTTCCCCTCACACCAACATGCTTCCCCTCACACCAACGTGCTTCCCCTCACACCAACGTGCTTCCCCTCACACCAACGTGCTTCCCCTCACACCAACGTGCTTCCCCTCACACCAACGTGCTTCCCCTCACACCAACGTGCTTCCCCTCACACCAACGTGCTTCCCCTCACACCAACGTGCTTCCCCTCACACCAACATGCTTCCCCTCACACCAACGTGCTTCCCCTCACACCAACGTGCTTCCCCTCACACCAACGTGCTTCCCCTCACACCAACGTGCTTCCCCTCACACCAACGTGCTTCCCCTCACACCAACGTGCTTCCCCTCACACCAACGTGCTTCCCCTCACACCAACAGTGCTTCCCCTCACACCAACGTGCTTCCCCTCACACCAACGTGCTTCCCCTCACACCAACGTGCTTCCCCTCACACCAACGTGCTTCCCCTCACACCAACGTGCTTCCCCTCACACCAACGTGCTTCCCCTCACACCAACGTGCTTCCCCTCACACCAACAGTGCTTCCCCTCACACCAACGTGCTTCCCCTCACACCAACGTGCTTCCCCCTCACACCAACGTGCTTCCCCTCACACCAACGTGCTTCCCCTCACACCAACGTGCTTCCCCTCACACCAACGTGCTTCCCCTCACACCAACGTGCTTCCCCTCACACCAACAGTGCTTCCCCTCACACCAACGTGCTTCCCCTCACACAACGTGCTTCCCCTCACACCAACGTGCTTCCCCTCACACCAACGTGCTTCCCCTCACACCAACAGTGCTTCCCCTCACACCAACGTGCTTCCCCTCACACCAACGTGCTTCCCCTCACACCAAACGTGCTTCCCCTCACACCAACGTGCTTCCCCTCACACCAACGTGCTTCCCCTCACACCAACGTGCTTCCCCTCACACCAACGTGCTTCCCCTCACACCAACGTGCTTCCCCTCACACCACGTGCTTCCCCTCACACCAACGTGCTTCCCTCACACCAACGTGCTTCCCCTCACACAACATGCTTCCCCTCACACCAACGTGCTTCCCTCACACCAACGTGCTTCCCCTCACACCAACGTGCTTCCCCTCACACCAACGTGCTTCCCTCACACCAACAGTGCTTCCCCCACACCAACGTGCTTCCCCTCAACCAACATGCTTCCCCTCACACCAACGTGCTTCCCCTCACACCAACGTGCTTCCCCTCACACCAACGTGCTTCCCCTCACACCAACGTGCTTCCCCTCACACCAACGTGCTTCCCCTCACACCAACGTGCTTCCCCTCACACCAACGTGCTTCCCCTCACACCAACGTGCTTCCCCTCACACCAACGTGCTTCCCCTCACACCAACGTGCTTCCCCTCACACCAACGTGCTTCCCCTCACACCAACGTGCTTCCCCTCACACCAACGTGCTTCCCCTCACACCAACATGCTTCCCCTCACACCAACGTGCTTCCCCTCACACCAACGTGCTTCCCCTCACACCAACATGCTTCCCCTCACACCAACATGCTTCCCCTCACACCAACGTGCTTCCCCTCACACCAACGTGCTTCCCCTCACACCAACGTGCTTCCCCTCACACCAACATGCTTCCCCTCACACCAACGTGCTTCCCCTCACACCAACGTGCTTCCCCTCACACCAACGTGCTTCCCCTCACACCAACGTGCTTCCCCTCACACCAACGTGCTTCCCCTCACACCAACGTGCTTCCCCTCACACCAACGTGCTTCCCCTCACACCAACGTGCTTCCCCTCACACCAACGTGCTTCCCCTCACACCAACGTGCTTCCCCTCACACCAACGTGCTTCCCCTCACACCAACGTGCTTCCCCTCACACCAACATGCTTCCCCTCACACCAACGTGCTTCCCCTCACACCAACGTGCTTCCCCTCACACCAACATGCTTCCCCTCACACCAACATGCTTCCCCTCACACCAACGTGCTTCCCCTCACACCAACGTGCTTCCCCTCACACCAACGTGCTTCCCCTCACACCAACGTGCTTCCCCTCACACCAACATGCTTCCCCTCACACCAAACGTGCTTCCCCTCACACCAACGTGCTTCCCCTCACACCAACGTGCTTCCCCTCACACCAACGTGCTTCCCCTCACAACCAACGTGCTTCCCCTCACCCAACGTGCTTCCCCTCACACCAACGTTGCTTCCCCTCACACCAACGTGCTTCCCCTCACACCAACGTGCTTCCCCTCACACCAACGTGCTTCCCCTCACACCAACGTGCTTCCCCCTCACACCAACGTGCTTCCCCTCACACCAAACATGCTTCCCCTCACACCAACGTGCTTCCCCTCACACCAACGTGCTTCCCCTCACACCAACGTGCTTCCCCTCACACCAACGTGCTTCCCCTCACACCAACGTGCTTCCCCTCACACCAAGTGCTTCCCTCACACCAACGTGCTTCCCCTCACACCAACGTGCTTCCCCTCACACCAACGTGCTTCCCCTCACACCAACTTGCTTCCCCTCACACCAACGTGCTTCCCCTCACACCAACATGCTTCCCCTCACACCAACGTGCTTCCCCTCACACCAACGTGCTTCCCCTCACACCAACGTGCTTCCCCTCACACCAACGTGCTTTCCCCTCACACCAACGTGCTTCCCCTCACACCAACGTGCTTCCCCTCACACCAACGTGCTTCCCCTCACACCAACATGCTTCCCCTCACACCAACGTGCTTCCCCTCACACCAACGTGCTTCCCCTCACACCAACATGCTTCCCCTCACACCAACGTGCTTCCCCTCACACCAACGTGCTTCCCCTCACACCAACGTGCTTCCCTCACACCAACGTGCTTCCCCTCACACCAACGTGCTTCCCCTCACACCAACGTGCTTCCCCTCACACCAACGTGCTTCCCCTCACACCAACGTGCTTCCCCTCACACCAACGTGCTTCCCCTCACACCAATCCCCTCACACCAACATGCTTCCCCTCACACCAACGTGCTTCCCTCACACCAACGTGCTTCCCCTCACACCAACGTGCTTCCCCTCACACCAACGTGCTTCCCCTCACACCAACGTGCTTCCCCTCACACCAACGTGCTTCCCCTCACACCAACGTGCTTCCCCTCACACCAACGTGCTTCCCCTCACACCAACATGCTTCCCCTCACACCAACGTGCTTCCCCTCACACCAACGTGCTTCCCCTCACACCAACGTGCTTCCCCTCACACCAACGTGCTTCCCCTCACACCAACGTGCTTCCCCTCACACCAACATGCTTCCCCTCACACCAACGTGCTTCCCCTCACACCAACGTGCTTCCCCTCACACCAACGTGCTTCCCCTCACACCAACGTGCTTCCCCTCACACCAACATGCTTCCCCTCACACCAACGTGCTTCCCTCACACCAACATGCTTCCCCTCACACCAACGTGCTTCCCCTCACACCAACGTGCTTCCCTCACACCAACATGCTTCCCCTCACACCAACGTGCTTCCCCTCACACCAACGTGCTTCCCCTCACACCAACGTGCTTCCCCTCACACCAACATGCTTCCCCTCACACCAACATGCTTCCCCTCACACCAACGTGCTTCCCCTCACACCAACGTGCTTCCCCTCACACCAACGTGCTTCCCCTCACACCAACATGCTTCCCCTCACACCAACGTGCTTCCCCTCACACCAACGTGCTTCCCCTCACACCAACGTGCTTCCCCTCACACCAACGTGCTTCCCCTCACACCAACGTGCTTCCCCTCACACCAACGTGCTTCCCCTCACACCAACATGCTTCCCCTCACACCAACGTGCTTCCCCTCACACCAACGTGCTTCCCCTCACACCAACGTGCTTCCCCTCACACCAACGTGCTTCCCCTCACACCAACGTGCTTCCCTCACACCAACATGCTTCCCCTCACACCAACGTGCTTCCCCTCACACCAACGTGCTTCCCCTCACACCAACGTGCTTCCCCTCACACCAACGTGCTTCCCCTCACACCAACATGCTTCCCCTCACACCAACGTGCTTCCCCTCACACCAACATGCTTCCCCTCACACCAACGTGCTTCCCCTCACACCAACGTGCTTCCCCTCACACCAACATGCTTCCCCTCACACCAACATGCTTCCCCTCACACCAACAGGAGCAGCAGCAGGGCAGCAACAGCAGCAGCGGCGGCAGCACTGTGAGCTGGCAGCAGCTGCGGGACCACTCGCACCTGCCATCCGTGCTCGCCAGGTCAACAGCCTCCGTGGCGGGGTGCTTCGATGACGTCATCGCTGAGATGCAGCGCCGCCTGCAGGGCCTGCCTGCCTCCTCGCCTGCCTCCGCTGCTTCCAATGCTGCTTCCAATGCTGCTTCCAATGCTGCTTTGGCTGCTGCTGCAGCAGGAGAGGAAGGAGAGGAAGTGGGGGACGGAGGGGAAGGGAATGGAAGGGAGGCAGGTGGCGGTGGCGCGGCGGGCAAGAGGACGTTTGCGCTGGGAGAAGGCCACCCTGCCTGCTGTCCGGTAACATGCCTGTCACCTGCCATGTCCGCATCCCTCTGCTCCTCTCATATGGCCTTTCACGGTTCGCCTCATGCACACATGCCACCACCTCCACTCTTTACCCTCTCCCCCTCTCTGCCCCGCACTGCCCCCTGTCTCGTCCCTGCTGGCCTTCGCAGTGTCTGCTGTGTGGGGAGCGAGAGGCATCGAAGGCGAGGAGGCAGCGCAGGGGGCAACCGAGAGTGGGGGAAGAAGGTGGGGCGGAGGGGGATGGGGAGAGCGTGCTGCTCACTCCAGAAGACTCTGTGCTCAATGCCAAGACAGCGGTCAGTTGATGCCAAGACAGCGGTCAGTTGATGCCAAGACAGCGGTCAGTTGATGCCAAGACAGCAGTGGGTTGATGACCGTTAGACCCTAATACTGATGCCATGTAATCCATGAAAGATCCTTCTATTTTCCTTCTTCCCTTACTCCAACCGCTCCATTTTTGCGGCCCCTTCTATTTTCCTTCTTCCCTTTATCCCACCGCGGGACCGCATGCATGTCCGCCCGCGTCACCAGGAGAGGCTGCTAGAGCGGTTGGAGGCGGTGGAGGTGCTGCGCAGGGCGGTGGTGGTGTTTGGCGGGGACTGGTTCCGGCTGGGCCTGTCCACGTACAAGTCGCACGACCTGCCCGCCTGGTGGCGCGCTGGCATCCACGACAAGGGGCTCGTCAAGGTGTGTGGCATCCACGACAAGGGGCTCGTCAAGGTGCGTGGCATCCACGCCAAGGGGCTCGTCAAGGTGTGTGGCATCCACGACAAGGGGCTCGTCAAGGTGTGTGGCATCAACGCCAAGGGGCTCGTCAAGGGGTGTGGCATCCACGACAAGGGCTCGTCAAGGGGTGTGGCATCCACGACAAGGGGCTCGTCAAGGTGTGTGGCATCCACAACAAGGGGCTCGTCAAGGTGTGTGGCATCCACGCCAAGGGGCTCGTCAAGGTGTGTGGCATCCACGACAAGGGGTTCGTCAAGGTGTGTGGCATCCACGACAAGGGGCTCGTCAAGGTGTGTGGCATCCACGACAAGGGGTTCGTCAAGGTGTGTGGCATCCACGACAAGGGGCTCGTCAAGGTGTGTGGCATCCAGGACAAGGGGCTCGTCAAGGTGTGTGGCATCCACGACAAGGGGCTCGTCAAGGTGTGTGGCATCCACGACAAGGGGCTCGTCAAGGTGTGTGGCATCCACGCCAAGGGGCTCGTCAAGGTGTGTGGCATCCACGACAAGGGGCTCGTCAAGGTGTGTGGCATCCACGCCAAGGGGCTCGTCAAGGGGTGTGGCATCCACGCCAAGGGGCTCGTCAAGGTGTGTGGCATCCACGACAAGGGGCTCGTCAAGGTGTGTGGCATCCACGACAACGGGCTCGTCAAGGTGTGTGGCATCCACGACAAGGGGCTCGTCAAGGTGTGTGGCATCCACGACAAGGGGCTCGTCAAGGGTGTGTGGCATCCACGCCAAGGGGCTCGTCAAGGTGTGTGGCATCCACGACAAGGGGCTCGTCAAGGTGTGTGGCATCCACGACAAGGGGCTCGTCAAGGTGTGTGGCATCCACGACAAGGGGCTTTGTCAAGGTGTGTGGCATCCACGACAAGGGGCTCGTCAAGGTGTGTGGCATCCACGACAAGGGGCTCGTCAAGGTGTGTGGCAATCCACGCCAAGGGGCTCGTCAAGGTGTGTGGCATCCACGACAAGGGGCTCGTCAAGGTGTGTGGCATCCACGACAAGGGGCTCGTCAAGGTGTGTGGCATCCATGACAAGGGGCTCGTCAAGGTGTGTGGCATCCACGACAAGGGGCTCGTCAAGGTGTGTGGCAATCCACGACAAGGGGCTCGTCAAGGTGTGTGGCATCCACGACAAGGGGCTCGTCAAGGGGTGTGGCATCCACGCCAAGGGGCTCGTCAAGGTGTGTGGCATCCCACGACAAGGATGTTGTAATTTCATATTTCATACAACATACATAGGCTAGAAGTGTAGCACATTTATAAATTGGGGGGTTGCTTAGTGTACCCTCCAACCACATTTTGTGGTTGGTTGGGATTGGTCCTTAGCTCAACCAATCCCAACCAACACACATTTGTGGTTGCTTGGGTCACAAGCAAGCTCACCCATTGGCCAACTTATTGGCCAATAGGGTAAGCTTCCCTCCCATCTCTCTCTTGCTCATTGTTGTACTAAAGAGCCTCTTGGCTCATTATTCAATGTATCAATTCTCTCTCTTCTAACAAAGGGGCTCGTCAAGGTGTGTGGCATCCACGACAAGGTGCTCGTCAAGGTGTGTGGCATCCACGACAAGGGGCTCGTCAAGGTGTGTGGCATCCACGACAAGGGGCTCGTCAAGGTGTGTGGCATCCATGACAAGGGGCTCGTCAAGGTGTGTGGCATCCACGACAAGGGGCTCGTCAAGGTGTGTGGCATCCACGACAAGGGGCTCGTCAAGGTGTGTGGCATCCACGACAAGGGGCTTGTCAAGGTGTGTGGCATCCACGACAAGGGGGCTCGTCAAGGTGTGTGGCATCCACGACAAGGGGCTCGTCAAGGTGTGTGGCATCCACGCCAAGGGGCTCGTCAAGGTGTGTGGCATCCACGACAAGGGGCTCGTCAAGGTGTGTGGCATCCACGACAAGGGGCTCGTCAAGGTGTGTGGCATCCACGCCAAGGGGCTCGTCAAGGTGTGTGGCATCCACGCCAAGGGGCTCGTCAAGGTGTGTGGCATCCACCGACAAGGGGCTCGTCAAGGTGTGTGGCATCCACGACAAGGGCTCGTCAGGGTGTGTGGCATCCACGACAAGGGGCTCGTCAAGGTGTGTGGCATCCAGGACAAGGGGCTCGTCAAGGTGTGTGGCATCCACGACAAGGGGCTCGTCAAGGTGTGTGGCATCCACGACAAGGGGCTCGTCAAGGTGTGTGGCATGCACCCCAAGGGGCTCGTCAAGGTGTGTGGCATCCACGACAAGGGGCTCGTCAAGGTGTGTGGCATCCACGACAAGGGGCTCGTCAAGGTGTGTGGCATCCATGACAAGGGGCTCGTCAAGGTGTGTGGCATCCACGACAAGGGGGCTCGTCAAGGTGTGTGGCAATCCACGACAAGGGGCTCGTCAAGGTGTGTGGCCATCCACGACAACGGGCTCGTCAAGGTGTGTGGCATCCACGCCAAGGGGCTCGTCAAGGTGTGTGGCATCCAAGCCAAGGGGCTCGTCAAGGTGTGTGGCATCCACGACAAGGGGCTCGTCAAGGTGTGTGGCATCCACGACAAGGGGCTCGTCAAGGTGTGTGGCATCCACGACAAGGGCCTCGTCAAGGTGTGTGGCATCCACGACAAGGGGCTCATCAAGGTGTGTGGCATCCACGACAAGGGGCTCGTCAAGGTGTGTGGCAGCTTGCTATGCATTCATTGGATGCATGGTTGCTTACCGGCTGCTGTCCATCTCGATATCTCCACTGCTCACCCTCCTCCTGCGTGGCCATCGTTCATGCTGGCCTCCACCCCCCCAGCCCAGCTTTCATCTCTGTGCCCCCACTCCCCTCCCCCGTCGACCCCTCTTCCCCCTCGTTAGGGCATATTCTTGCACGGGTACGGGTCGTGGGCGGCCATCATGAAGGACGCGGAGCTGCCCTTTGCGGCGCTCATAGCGCCCAGCAAGGCCGCCAAGGGCAAGGCAGGGCCCCGCAAGGCCGCGGCAGAGGCGGACGGCAGTGGCGCCGGCGAGGGAGGGAGAGGCGGCAGCGAGCAGGCGGACGAGGACGGGGCAGGCGGGGGAGCGGCAGGGGAGGGGGCACCGAAGGCGAAGGTGGTGGTGCGGAGGGTGAAGTACCTGGAGAAGATGCTCAAGCGGCAGCTCATCAAGCGCGACAGCTCTGGTCCCCGCAAGCGCATGTCCGCCGCTGCCAAGGCTGCTGCTGCCGCCGCCGCCGCCGCCGCTGCAGCTGCTGGTGGTTCCGCTGCTCCCTGCGTTGATGCCAAGCCTGCTGCTGGCACTGTCAGTAGTGTCGGTGCTGGCTGCTTCTGATGATGTGGATGCAGGGCAGCAGCGTGTGCATGGACACATGGCGTCCGCTGGTTGGCTGGTGGGAGATCCACACAGGGCTGGAGGTGGGGGGGATGTTGGAGGAGGCGGGGGAGGAGTGAGCCTGGAGTTCACATTGGAGAGGGGCGCGGGTGCTGGGGGAGTGGGTGGGGTGGGAGCACGAGGTGTTCATCCTGCTGCTTCTGCTGGCGCTGGTGTTGCTTTGGTTGGAAATTCTGCCAGAATAGTGGGTGGGGGTCTAGGCTTGGGCATGGGTGGAGGTATGGGTGGGCTGGACTTAAACATGGACTTGGATGAGGAAATAGAGGACTAGATGGTGCCTTGTGCCTTGTTTGTGTTGGTTCTCCTGGGAGTGCTGGACTGGGCTGTAATAAAGTG